CCCCCCCCCCAACCTTTTGGGCCCCAGGGACCATGGAGAAAGGTTTTTCCGCAGGGGTTGTGGTTTTGTGTGCTGGTTGCTGGCATCCCATGGGGCTTGTTTTTGTGTCCTGGTTGCTGGCATCCCATGGACTGGTGGGGGTTGGGGACCCTTGATATAAAGAAGAAAAAAATCTTTCTCCAAGAAGTTTATTTTTGATCTTTGATTAAATGGTACAAATGCATGGATGGCTCCCAGAGTAAATGTTAAGTATGCAGCATGTTTACCTTGAACTTGCCCAGCCAGTTAGCAAGTTAAAAGAAGCCCAGATTAAAAGGCCAAGGCCTAACCCAATGGTTTTAACAATTGGAACAACTGTTACATTACCTACACAGAAGAATGAAACCCATTGATTAGACATAAGACGTAATACCTATATTTTCATAATTATAATGAGCTACAATGATTACCATCACCACTTTTAATGCATATTATGTTTTGATGGGTAATTGTATGAATATTGGGCATGCATAACTCTTTCATATTCAAATGCATTGTATTGACTACAATGAAATGCATTGTATTGATTACAATGAAATGAAGCATAATTCACAAATATTACACATTCCAATCCTACATGAGGGAAGATACTGAACAATCAAGGAAATTATATAAAGCAACTCTCCTCACATATTTTAATATACTCAGACACCCTCACTACATGGTAGGCAGGACAAATCAAATGAGAGATTTTAGGCTGATATATTATATTATCATATCTAAGTGTTTTGTTAAGATGATTAAAGATGACTAAGATGATTAAAGGCCTGGAGACTAAAACATATGAAGAACGGTTGCAGGATTTGGGTTTGACTAGTCTAGAGAAAAGGAGGACTAGGGCAGACATGTCAAACTCGCGACGTCACGAGACATTGCGCAACGTATCGGGCCGTTTTGCCATTGCCGGCAATGGGGTGGGCACGGCTTCTAGATGAAATGTCTGGCCTGCGGGCTGCCAGTTTGATACCCCTGGACTAGGGGGACATGATAGCAGTATTCAAGTATTTGAGAGGCTGCCACAAAGAGGAGGGGGTCAATTTATTTTCCAAAGCACCAGAGGGCAGGACAAGAAACAATGGATGAAAACTAATCAAGGAGAGAAACAACCTGGAATTAAGGAGAAACTTCCTAACAGTGAGAAAAATTAACTAGTGGAAATGTTATGGAGCTTCATCACTGGAGGTTTTTAAGAAGAGACTAGACAGTCACTTGTCTGAAATGGTATAGGATCTCCTGCTTGAGCAGGGGGCTGGATTAGAAGACCTCCAAGGTCCCTTCCAGCTCTATTCTGATTCTGTTCACCTTTAAAATATAACTTGCATTTTCTAGTATGGAAAATTAATGACAATCTTTTTCTAACTTACTATATTAATGTCATTACTGCATTATTCTTTCTGAAGAACCTCAGAATGTCATACTAAACAATTTCTAATAAAAACATATACATATAACCATTAAAAAAAACAAATCCCCATAAAATGAGACCATAAAACATTAAAAACATTTAGGTTTCAGAACACTTGTTACCCTGCAAATGCCCAGATGAGTCCAATTGTAGTGCTGCTATTGCAAATCACCAATTTTCAGTGAGGAAAAATAATGACATAACAGTTGATTCCTAATCATAAATAATCAAAAAGTTTGTCCTAACTCAGATTACAACTCAATATGTTGTCAAGCTTAGATTTTGTATATTTTACTGCACTCCTGTAAATTGTGCAAATTATGATAGAACTTTCTCTAATAAATTTGATGGAGGATAATTTCAATATTACCTGTAGCCCATAAAAAGCCCCCAACCATAGCAAGAGGCCAAAACTTTGGGCTGTTCTGAATCAGGTTAACAATTAAAGAAACAATCCAGATAGCAGCACAAAGAATCCACTGGAAGAACATTCCTACAATAAAAGAACAAAAATTATAAATTACCAGTACAGTTAATACTAATTAAACATATGTGATGTCATGAAATGTTTACAAATGAAATTGCAGCAATGAATAAAAGGGCATATTAGCTACTGTTTAGCCTCACCCTTTAAGGATGAGTAAAAATCTTTTTTTTTTAAGTCTTGGTGATAAAGACAAATAAAAAAAGAGATCCTCAAAATGAAAAAAGTAAAAAGAATGGTGAAGAGGAGGCAGTAAACTAAGAAGCTATACCCTGAGAATATGCAGAGATGCCCTAATGCAGACATGTCAAACACAAGGCCTGGGGCCGGATGCGGCCCGTGAAGTGGTTTCATTTGGCCCGTGAAGCCATCCTGGAAACAGTGAGGGAATGGCCCCCGCTGCCTTGGCCCTGGCCCAGGCTGGCTGGGAGGGAGCCAATGTACAATTTTGTAGTGGCCATCTATGCTGAAACGCATTCAGTCTTAGCTCCACAAGGCCATCTGGAAACAATGAGGAACCAGCCCCTGCCGTGTCAGCCCCAGCCCCTGGGTGCATGCTGGAGAGGTGTCACGTTTTGTGAGGAATGAAGAAATACACCATGGCTTGGAAGTGGCCAGCAAATGGCCCTCACCTACTTCACGTATCTGGCTTGATGGGCTCCGGGGAGGGGTTTCTGCAAGCAGCGGGGCACTCTCCTCACAGCGCCAAGAACTGAGCTGGGTGGCGCAAATCTAATGAGAAGTGCAATGCTGCCTAGCCCCCAGCCTGCCCAGTTTCAGCAGGCAGCAAGGTGCAAAGCTGGCGAGCTTCGCACTGCCCGGCTCAACCTCTTGGCACTGTGAGGACAGTGCCCCACTGCCTGCTGAGACCGGGCAGGCTGGGGGCTGGGTGGCGTCGCGCTTCTTTTTGAATTCGTGCCGCCTGGCTCAGCCGCTCGGTGCTATGAAGAGAGCGCCTTGCTGCCTGCCAAAACCAGGCAGGCTGGGTGCTGGGCGGCATTGCGCAGGTAATGTTGACTCTCACGCTGCTCATGGCATCCCCTCACCAAGAGCCCACCAAGCCAGATATGTGAAGTAGGTGAGGGCGATGTGCTGGCCATTTCCAGGCAATGGTGTATTTCTTCATTTCTCACGAAGGGTGACACCTCCCCAGCTGCGTTTCTTGCCTATTTTTCTCCCTCCCTCATCTCAAATATTTTCCCACCACTCTGTACTTAGGAAAGAAGGAAGGAAAGAAGGAAAGGAGAGGGAGGGTCTGAGGAAAGTCCTGCCTTAGTCCTGCCCTGCTGCCCTTTCACCATCCCCTTGCCCCCTCTTCCTGGCCTATCCTGGGGCTCTCCCATCCTATTGGTAAGGAAGCTTTGGATACAAAGCCGGGTCTCCTCCCATGGAGAGGGAATGGGCCTCCCTCCGACTTTGCCCTCGTACCCATCATGAACAACCTGGCTAAGGAGCAGCAGCCTTGAGGAGGAGGTAAGTGCAGCTGGGCACCCCTTTGGGGAAGTGGGTTGGGCTTGGTGCCATGGGTGCTCGAGGGCCAGGCTGGGCATTTGACCTCTGCTGCCCAGGGCTCTGGGAAGCCCGCACCACCATCCAGCCCCCCCCCCCACATGGCCTGAGAGGAACAGTGGCTCCTCCAGTGGACCTTGCCTTGTCACTTGCTCTGGTCCCACCCCCTTCTGCCAGAGACCCTCAGGTCTGTCCCACTCCTGCCCAGGCCCCCACAGGCACCATTGATGCGAATGATGTAGAGCTGGCCACGCCCACCCAGTAGGCCACACCCACTCCATCCACACCCACCCAGTAGGCCACACCCACCCTGGCCGCACCCACCCGGCCCCCCAAGGGCAACCGCAATGCTGATGCGGTCCTCAATGAAATTGAGTTTGATACCCCTGCCCTAATGAGATCAAAAAGAATATAGGAAAAGTAATGTAAGGTGAAGAAGTAAAACCATTGAAGCAAGAGGTCATCTGATCAAGCTATATATTAAATACTCAAAATTTGTTAAGCTGGCTTCTTGTATTCTGAAGATCCAAAATATGTGCCCTACCTAGATACTGCTGAACATCATCAGCATATCTTTTATCTCCAAAAGTCTATAATAAGTAGCACCCTTGAGGATAAATAGCAGTTGGTGTAGGGAGACAAGCTAGGAGCACATTTCTAGATGAAGACCCCACAGCAATTTTTCATTCAAAATAAAAGTGGCTGATCTAAGCATTGTTTAAAAATAATAAGATTAATATAACATACAACTTAGTCTTGTATTATGGAAAAACCAACATTCAACAAATATCCTTTTTACAAAAGCTTGAAATAGAACTGAATCTAAATAGAAGATACTTTGTTCCTTTACCTAGGGGAAAAAATAGCTTCTAGACCAGGAGTGTCAAACTGCTGGCCCACGGGCCAGATAGGTCATGCCAAAACCGGGCCCACCCCATTGCCGGCAATGGGAAAAAAGTCACAATACGTCACGACACGTCATGTGACGTCGCAAGTTTGACACCCGTGTTCTAGACCATTTATCTAGATCCTATGCACTAGGCAACAAAATACAAGAAATATCAACTACTCATTCGCTTGAAAGGGCAGTTATCCTTGTTTCAATTTTTTTCCCTAAAAAAAATTATTAGGTTAGGGCAAATTATTCGATAAGGTCATGACAAAACCAGAATTTAATTGTATTTAAATTAAACACAAACAATAAGAGCTGTATACTTACAAAGATACATTTCATAAAGTTTCCTTTATGTTAAAATACAAATTTTATAGTATATTTGGAGTTCTGGTAATGAAATGCTTCAGCCCAAAAGTATCTTTTATTTGCCCTTTCATGGATAGATATCAGCTATAATTGTTCAAAGGGACTCTTTAAGTAAAATGCATGATAACAGCAATTTTGTTTTAAGATGATCATTTTACCATCCCCAGTGTCAAACTTCTTCACCGGTACAAAGTTTGATCCAAATAAGACAACAGCAACTGCTGAAGAAATAAAGCCAATGGTCAGATCTGTTGTATTACTGCTGACAGAGTGGGGGATCCCTTGCCAGCTCTCCATCTGCTTTTAGTGCCTGACTTGACTTCTGTAAAGAATTCTCTGGATTCCCTTTCTTCAGGCAGCACTAGGAGGAGAAAAATCATTGAATAAATGACACATCACAATATTTACAAAATTTTCATGCTATTATTACAATATGATTCTCCCCGTCATTCTGATTTGTTACAATTATAGTTTTTAGGTAAAATTAAAGCAGTAATTCAAAACAAAGATTTTATTTATTTATTTAATTAATTTATACGCTGCCCATGTCACTGTCAAGCAACTCTGGGTGGCTTACAACAATATAAAAGCATAATATAAAACAATAAGAGCATTAAAAACATTCAGCATTAAGAATCAAAACATACTGCAACCAATTTTGGTCACCATATTACAAAAAAGATGTTGAGACCTTGGAAAAAGTTCAGAGAAGAGCAACTAAGATGATCAAAGGTCTGGAGACTAAAACATACGAAGAACGGCTGCAGGACTTGGGTTTGGCTAGTCTAAAGAAAAGAAGAAATTGGGGTAACATGATAGCAGTATTCCAGTATCTGAGGGGCTGCCACAAGGAAGAGGGGATCATATTGTTCACCAGAGCACCAGAGGGCAGGATAAGAAACAATGGTTGGAAACTGATCAAAGAGAGAAGCAAACTGGAATTAAGGAGAAACTTCCTAACTGTGAGGACAATTAAGCAGTGGAACGGCTTGCCTTCAGAAATCTTGGGTGCTCCATCACTGGAGGATTTTAAGAAGAGACTGGACAGTCACTTGTCTGAGATGGTATAGGTTTTCCTGCTTGAGCGGGGGGCTGGACTAGGAACTCTAAGGTTCTATTCTATTCTATTCTATTCTATTCTATTCTATTCTATTCTATTCAGAATTAAATAAAAGGGACTAATGCATAAATGGTACAGAGATGGGACCTTTTAATCTATTAACCACTGCCAAAGTGAGATAATCCCCTTGGGGCCTTGGCCCTTTTGGAAGGCCAAGAGGGTGGGGGCAGACTTCACCTTGAGGGGGGACAATGTTATTTTCTGGACTCCACCAGCCAAAGTTCTTTATTGAGATATAAGATAAAATTAGTAGTAAAGTAGTAAAGATAATCTGTAAAAATGGATCACCACCAGTAAAAACACTTACAAAAGCAATAAAAAACTAATCTTGAAGACTTATAGAGGGGAAAATGGGACTAGGCCCATGGGTTCTGTTCATGATTTTGGTGCATTTAGTGGCTTTATACGGAAGTTCACACATTATTTTATCATTGCAAAATGATGCCCATCCGTATTCAGCTGTTTATATGTAAGCTTTGCCTGTGGCTAGAAATTCCAGTAATGTGAAATTCTCAGTTATGTGTTGACAGTGATGATACTGGTAAATAGGAAACCAGATTCTGATGATATTCATCTCATTCTGGAAGACAGCTGCACTTTTCTGAAAGTATAGATCTAGTCTCAGACACTCCTTGATCTTCAGCTGTCTGTACATCCCCAGGATGCGGCAACAAGGCCTACATCTAGTATAGCTGCTTTGACCATTCCTACATTGGCCAGACTGAATATAACTTGCTTATCTGACTAGTGTATTGAGATTTAATGTGACCACTTAAACATCATCTGGAAGTTTCAATTGTTGCTAAATGTGGCAGACTGACTACCAGTGATTCACTTAGCAACTATGGCAAGAAAGGTCGTAAAATGGGGCAAAATTCACTTAACAAATCTTTTGTTTAGAAATTTTGAGATCAATTGAGGTTATACATCGAGCACTATCTATATTATGGATTTCTGTTTTGGCATCAGTATACCAAAGATGTTACCTAGTCTGCTAATGAAACATTTACAGGAAAACAACCAAGCTCAAAGAACACCAAGAACCCAACAGCTTTTCCTTTATTTCTTGTAACCTAGCTTGAGTGCCCCTTGAGCAAAACAGCAAGAATAAACTGTAAAAATAAACAAAAGTTGTAGCAAATGCAGATGCCATTGCAGAGAACATGCAAATACAAGGCTTAGGGTGGGTGAACTATTTAGCCACTGTGATTTTTACACAATAGAAGTCTTCTGAGTGTTACTCTTGAATTTTCATAATTACTCTCAACATAACTCTGTAAATAAATTTTCAGGAAAAGAGGGCTGGGTTTTCTAACAAGACTCAAAAGAATGTGAATCTTATCCAAAACACTGACCTGAATATATTATCTCAAAGTATGAGTTGTTCATTTAATTTTCTACAATTCTTTCCCCTTACTTTCTTCTAAAGCATTCTGCACAAGACATTGGTCATTCACCAGAAGGCATTATACCCAAGTCCTGGGAAGGAAAGGACTCTCCCACAGAAATTCATTTTGATTCCAGGAACAATTGTGGCTGAACTACAAACCTCAGCATATCTCATCATTAGGATATTGCCAATACAGGATGAACTTATTCCACCTTTCCTCAACCCACTGGACCCCAACCCTAACCCACAGGACTAGAGTGCAGCGTGCAGAATACCTAGCCAGCTTGCTCTGTGGACAATGCTGGTAATATATCATTCCAGCACATTTGGAAAGCACAAGGTCGGAATCAACTAGCCTATCCAAAAACTTTGCTATTTGAATACTATTACAATCGACTTTGCATTGTCTTTACTCATTTAATCTTCCCTTCCCTTCTGTTTTCTGACAATTTACAAAACTTAAGCCACAAAGACCACCACCTGTTACTGCAATTCTTCTTTTGCTTTTAGTAGAAAGGCAAATGTTACCTTTCGTACATTGATGTTACTTTCAAGCCAGATTCTCGGCTCCTGTTTCCTGCTTCGATTATTTCAAGCGTCAACAGCTGTAAGGAACAAGGAGCTCCGCCCAGTTCTCACATGATGCATCCCCACAGATCAGATCTCAGCTGCCAAAGTTCAGAAGACCACGGCATGGCAGGAAATGGCTCAGGGTTTGCTGTAACTATTTGCTGCCATTTCGCGGTCATTTGGATTTTTGCAGCCCAGATCTAATAGGCAGGTAGTGAAACACTGCGTATCTTTAAAATCGCGTTCTTTGTCTGGGTCTCGTTTCCTGCAAATGATTTTGTTCAAACCGTAAATAATATGTGGGAAGGAGACCCGGAACACAAAGGACTTCCGCACTCCCAGCGGCGCACCCACATACAGCTAAACTCTCGCGTCAATTCTTAAAGCTAGGAACCCGCGAGATTAGAGAAGAAGTTTTTGTTTAACGTAGCTTTTCGCAATATTACTGGTTGGTTAAAAGGGAGTAGTATTAAATTTAGGCTGCCAAGGTGGAGTAGTTATGTGGCTTTCTTAGAAGAGCACGCGACGTTAGACAGCGGCAGAAAGAAAAAGTAGAAATCCTGTACTATTTTTAAAGATTTTTGCAAGTATGTATGTTCGCAATGCACATCATGGCACAATCCAGCTGGTCGCATTTTAGCACAGTGCGTCGTGTGAAATCTGCCCGTGCTATCTGCTTGCTAACACTAGGATTGTGTTCTGGATTTTAAATGACCAGCAGCCATGTGGTGCCTTATTGAAATGAAGACATTAGCCGCTTTGTATTTGCTACAGCTTTTTAGCACTGAAAAAATTGCATGGCAATGCACAAAAAAGAGGATAACTGTTTCCTCTCTCATCAGCTGTGGCTGAGACAAAAGCTGATCATGACCGCATTTCCTCTAAAACCAGTTATTGAGGTGTCTTCAAGCCATGCTTAGCAGGACATAAGGATATGTTCCAGTAGGTCGCTGAACAACATTTTTGGGAGATGCTCTAGTCTGTATTAGATCACTAGATTTGTGGTGCAAAACTCTGGACACAAGAAGAAAGGAAAAAGTTCAATTTTTCACCCTCTGCCACCATCTGAATTTTTGCAGACCAGATATACAGTATAACCTGCCTTTTCTCTAGGGCAGTGGTGGCAAACCTATGGGACAGGTGCCAGAGGCAGCACTCAGAGCCCGCTCTGTGGGCATGCATGCCGTCGCTCCAGTCCTAGGCCTTCAGCTGGGTTTTATAAAAGCTTTTTGCTTTAGGCCTCCGTCGTCGTGTGCAAAAAAAAAAAAGGTTCAATCAATCAGTCAATTTCAACTTATCGCGGGAAAAAAAAAGATCTTGCAAAGTTGGAATTGATTGAACTTTTTAGTCCCACCCAGTCTGCCGTTACCACTGCAGCCACGCCCACCCAATGCGCCACATGCACCAAATTGGCTACACCCACCCGGCAACCAATGATGCATAAGTGGGTTTTGGGTTGCAGTTTGGGTATTCGGTCTCTAAAAGGTTCGCCATCACTGCTCTAGGGGTTGAAGATAGTACTCACTTAATATTAACATACTGTGGCATAGGTTGAGAGATAGTAATATATGCTATGAATCTGGAAGCCAAGTCCATGTAGCCAATTTTAACTTCACACATCAGAAAAGTTGGAGAAATTCTTCTCCGTAGATGAGTGAACCAGAAAACAGCTATGTTTCGGAATTACTGTTTCGTCTGCTGCAGCAGCCCTAAATTGAAAACAAAATTATTTGTCACACAGGGAAGAATATTAAGCTCTAGAAGATTGATGTAATACTATTAATATACCTCATTAGCTATTCATTTTTAATCCAGTCACTTCAAAAATCTATGTATATTTATGAGATCTCTAAACAGCTACACTAATCCATAACAATTAAATGTATACATTTAATTTGACAATCTGTTGATGCTAACTATTACCATTGGCATATATTGCACAAGAACAATGAGTCTGATTCTCTTTCACTTAAATATTGGGAATTAGTAATATGTGTAGGAAGTCAGCACACAGACACACACCAGAGAATGAAATATTTTGGAGAATATTAAAAAAGGCAGAATATTTCTCCTAAAGAAGAAATGGAGAAATTTTTTTTAACAAAGGCAGAAAGCAGCCCCAGCCTCAAGCAAAAACAAGAAGAGACCAGTCTTTAGGAAATCCATTCAGAAAGATTGGACTACTCTATTCATAAGCAAAGAGCAAACAGAGACTCCAGATAAGCAACACAATTAGGCAAAAGTTGACAAGACTAGCTCAGACAAACACCTAAGATTTGCATTTCCCCTTTTGGCTATAGAGCCAGCCATGACTCCTACATGACCTCATAGGAATCTGGCAACAGCCATTAGAATATTAAAGGACATAGTTCTTGCACAGGAACAGGCATCTCAAATACAAAGCCCAAAGAAGGTATAAAACCCCACCTACTCTCAACTCTATTTTGTCAGCTGTCCCAGAACTACATGCTGTTGTTGGTTCTGCTCATCAATAAACAGAAACCTTTGCTAAGCAGCCTCTATTTTATTTTCAGCATCTTAGCCCCCATTTTATTTCCACTGTCTTACTCCCAGTTTGGAACTGGGCCTGAGTTTTCTTTCAACAATGTATTATTTTGATACAAAATGAATAGAGGTGTTTTGGATCTGGCATGACCATCTTCTTTCTACCCTTCTAAAAGCCAACCCTTTTCTGGATTATACAGTAGTTGTATGAGCTGAGTTATATATAATATATTTGTTGGGAAAGGTGGTGGGTGTATGCCAAAGATGCCATGCAGATGCATTGGTGGGCAATGTAGGTTGAGAAAGGTATGTACAGATGCACAGGAGGTGCTTTGCAAGTCAGAAAGGGCATGAAGGGGGTGGCAGGATTGGAGAAGGGGCATGTGCCTCCCCCCTCCCTCCCTCCCTCCCTCCCTCCCTCTTATCTAATGTAAATATTATTCAAATACATATATATTTATTTCTAATACATTTTTTTACTATTATTCATCTTTAATTTACTATATTTTGTATAAATGAGTTCCAATTTTATTATTATTGTCCAAAATCTACATCTATAGGCAATCCGCTCATAGGTGGCAAGCGAAATCAGGTGATCGATCCATTCAGTGAATAGAGCCATACATTTTTCTAATGCTGCAATATTAGTCTTTTGGCCATAGTAAGGGCATAGAGAATCCATTTATGGTGTCCAGATGTCAAATTCTATGTAATAGGTATGTAATTCAAGAGAATATTATCCTCTGAAAAATTTAATTTTTGTTGAACTGTCATATTTATATAATCCATTACCTTCTCACAAAATTTAGTAAGTATAGGAGATTGTAAAATCATGTGCTTTAAAGAAGTATTATCCTTAATACATCTGTAACAAAATGATGTCTTAGGTTTTTTCTATTCAAATGTAGTAGAATCCAATACATTCTAAATATTATTTTTTGCAGTAAAGTCATAGTCCACAGACACTCTTGATATGGAAGTTAACACACTTTCCCCATTTTCTAGACAATATAGGAAACTCTACCAAAACTGTACCATATGTTTGTGTGTTCAGCATTATTCTTGGAATGCTGTTATCCCGCTAAGTTTGCCCATTGGCCTTGATATTCTACTGTATATGCTGGGAATTTACTGGGATTTGTGCTTTCAGCATCAATTTTGTTTACAAGAATAAGTTCAGTAAAAATGATACATGGCTACAGTCCAAAGATATTTGTTAAATCTTGTTAAAAATATCTACCTGTCCTGGAAAAAGAAAGAGAGTCGGGAGGTGGACGAGCAGATGATCTGCAACATTCTCATCAGTTTTCATTCTTATAAATGGCTGCCTTGTGAATAGCTACATTTGGCAGAGCAGACATTTATGATCAGGTAAAATTTCTCCTGGCATTTTTCTCTTTTCAAAATTCCCATTTGCCCATTGCCTCCTCTCCTCACGATTATTTATTTTTCATTTAATTAAATATTACATTGTTTTCTAGTTATCCTTGCCTCTCCTCTACTGCTTCTCTCTATTGATAATTTTAAAATTGTAAGTATTTTGGGACACTGATATTCAATAAATTTATTAAAGTTAATCTGATCTGTCTCAAGAAATATGCTTAATTTTGTAGCCACAAATTGTAATAATATATCAGTTGTTTTTCTTTTGTAGTAAAGATGATGGTGTTAAACCATTCTGATTTTGTTCACTAGGGGGCCCTCAAAACTTACATAGATTTAGTGTTCTGTTTTAGAAGCAAGACATCAGGCTAGGCTTTTCCATTCCAGAAATTAAAATAGCTCAAAAGAAATGAAAAGTTCATATAAGTTTGTGGCAGTCAACTAGGAACACCCATCTGGGATGATCAGAATATGTAGAAGAAATATGGAACTGGACTGAGGTTTCTCAAAGAGAACTTTCTTGCTAAATGAACTGCATGCATCAGGATTTTGAAATAAAACACAGGAAAACATCAAAAACTTGTTTATTGTTTTGTAATCTTTTATTCAATTTTAATAAAAGTATTGTCCAATTAGTGGATATTTTTTTCCTTCGAAAAAGTGGACTTCCTTTACATTCTAAAGGTTTTGCTAGTATTCATTACTGCTAGAAATTTTGGGGCTAGGATTTGGGCCAACGGTGTCGGTAAGATTATTCTAAGCTTTATTTTAATAATAGTTATTATAAGTAAAAAATATGTTTCATATGCTGAGTTTTTGTAGCACCAGAAAATTATGTTCATTTATAAGATTTATAAATTTTTATACATGTGCTATGTGAACACATCAGTATAATATTTTCAGAATTAGAAGGATGCATTCAGAATAGAATATACACATGTATATAATTTACTCATGCAATTATTTATATTTGTTGTTTGCAATGTAATGTTGTATTTAAAAAAATCTAGCCATTGAAAAAGGAAGAATTTTTGCTTTATAAAAAAACGAATGCCTAAATGAATGTCAACCCAAGAATGTACATCTTTTTACCTGACTAGTAGGTTCTCCTTTAGTTAAATCTTATATAATTATAAAGTTAATTTTCCTACATAGTCCTTCACTGATTAATGAAATATATTTTCATGTTGACTAGAAGCAATACAGTGAGTGATTTCTATATATCTTCCTTGCCACTAGCATAGGAAAAAGATATACCAACTATCAAGTTGTAAAAAAATTGCCTTTTTCTGAATGTTGTTAGTAATATGAACTAATATGAACAGAAATTTTACCTATGTTTGAAGGTTATTTTTATAGTTTTATATTAATTTGACATACATAGCATGAAGTTCCAACCTTTTTTTTTCCTTTGGGGAATGTAGTCTTTAAATGAAGAGATATACATGGTTTAAAAATAACCATGTGGGTAATGATGACTGTAAAATGATATTTATCATTCTTTCCCCTCTAACAGTTCAGCAGCCCAGAAGGGACTCCCAGACTTTTCATACTGTGACTCAGTTAACTCTGTTTATACAACCGACTCCATTCATTCACTGAACCCAATCACACCCTCTGAGGTGGCCGAAAGATTTTAACAGCTTGTCAGGGTACGCTGTCAGATTCATTGGAACTGAACATTTACAATTGGCATTTTCAATGTGTATATGCATTTGGCATTTTCAATGTGTATATGCATAGAGACACACACACACATAACAGCTGGAAAAAGAGGTGGAGACATCTGGTCATTTAGAAGGCATGCAGCAGCATCCTAGCTGGTGACCAGTGGATTCTTAAACTACTTTCATCATGTTGATTCACTGGAGAAATGAGCTTCCTGATTCAGACATGCCAAATTATCAACTGGCTCTTTTGTTCTCTGCGCTCACCTCGGCTGCTTTGGAGTGGCAAATGCTCAAGGACCAGAAGGAATTTGCTATTGGGCACTGCTTTTGTGATATATTTGGGCTTCCTTGTCAGTCAAGTAGGTCGTGTTGTACCGCAAAACAGAAAAGGACTATCAAAAGCAAAATCTTGGAATCTTCAAGATGTTGCTCAGCCTCATTTTTCTGAAATCCCAATGGATGGCACCTGGTCATTTTCTGACCTTGAAAAATCTCAGATGGGGACAAATAACACATCAATGTTGCCTAATGTGGTATACATCACTTTGCGGTCCAAGAGAAGGAAACCTGCCAAGATTCGAGGCACTGTGAGGCCCAAGCAAAGAAAGAAGCAAGTATTGCCTTTGCAGTATAGGAATAAGAACTCACTGGATGGCACAATCCAACGTAAGTCATTTTATGGCAAATCTATGAACAAGAGGAAAGGAGCAGTTGTTCCAGAGAAAGCTAGGCAGAAACAACAGCAGAAAGAAAAACAAATGGCTCAAAATATAAAGCATTGGAGACCTGAAATAATTATAAGAGGCCTAAATGTTCAAACTAATGTTCAGGAGAGCAATATCAGGATGTACAGTGAGAGTCCACCATCTTGGCTGAGTAAAGAGGATATCCTAAGTATGCGTTATATGGCAGATTCCAAAATAAATAGTATCCAAGAAGTGCCTTCACAACATGGAATACTTCTGGTATTTGGGAGAACAGAGCTTGATAATAAGTCAGTCAAAGAAGACATATGTAGCCAAGGTCACTGTGGCATCATCAAGAGACCACTTGACATGAGTGAAGTGTTTGCTTTCCACTTGGACAGGATCCTAAGGCTGAATCGGACTTTGCCTACTATAAGCAGAAAATTGGAATTTGTACAAGGTAATTAATTTACTCACTGCATTGGAAAAATGGAACATTCTCTCTTAGAGTAAGCTTTTATCCTTCAGTAGCATCAAGAAATAAATGTTATTAAATACTCAACAGCAGAAGGTGGTAATTTGATGCCTTCCAGATTTTTGACTGATTCTATTCAACCTCAATGAGTATATCATATGGCAAGAGCTGTGGGAGTTACTGTCCAAAACATCTGGAAGGATTCAGATTGCCTGTATCTACTGCCCAGTCAAATTACAATATAAATTGCTTGAGTAACCAAAATTTCAAATATTCAACTAAATTAATTTTCTTAATTTATCAAATTTCACACTATGATTACAGTGTTGAGTGGGTGGGTGATATGTTTTATCCATATCAAATATGAAAATTCATGTATTATAAGAAAGGAAAATTGTTCAGGAGAGCATGGAGTTCTTAGATTACATTAACATTCTGGATGCAAAATTTGGTTTAGCAAGAAAAGTATGGGCCAGATATTGCTGCCACGGCAAATATGTCATCTAATATTTTAGCTATGTAGTCTCTATCACATGTGAGATTTTTGCAAAAGTGCAGAATAAATCAGTGCTCTTAACAGAGATTGCCAAACAACTTTACCTAATGATTTGTATGCTAATTTTAATTGCAATAATACAGTGCAATTCTACTTCAAACAACCCATGGTGATTTGACGAAGTCAAGAATACAAAGAAATACTTGTTCTTTTTCAGTGCCTTTATACTTTTATTTTTTTATTTTAAAAAACAACCATGAATGTACAGTGTTGGGATTTTCTATCATAGTCAGATTGAAATATTATGAACCATAATTTTTGGTGGATTCTGGTTGTCTGTACCAATGAATTTATTTCTAGAAAAAATAGTTTCAATAAGTTTTTATAATGTAATTATGAATTTGTTTCTCACCTTTTAAACTTATGTCCCACTAAGATAATATAACATGCATTGCCTAATAAGCACTAAACTTATAACTGACCTAACTTGTGCACATTCAATTTTTAAATCTCAAAATGAATGCCCCTTTTCATATTCCATTTTATTGCTGAACTATGACTTCAACTGAAGCAATACTCATAATATAATTATATCAGAGAAGGCTGCAGTACATTTGCTTGAAAGAGTCCAAAAATAGTTCTCCATTTCTGTACTGATTCTTTCCTAATGTGGTCCCAGTGCTATTTTATGTAAAATTTCTAATCAATGTGTGTTTTATTAAAGGCAAAGAAAACTAGGAGAAATTGACTAGGAAAACATTTCTATAAGCAAATATAAAAGTAGTCTATGTTTTAATGTCACTTTATGGGTCTCTGTACTGAAAATGTCAATAGTCTGAGTGATTTCTTAATAGCTTTTAAGAAAAATCAGACTCTAAAAGTACAGAAGTCACATTATACATCTGTTATTTTTAGGGAAGGGTTTTACTGGTGCGAAGCTGGTGAAGAGAATGTAGTTCGGACTTCAGGGTCCAGGATAGAGAATCATGGTCTGAGGCCCTCTGTAAATTGCTCTTTGAGTAATCATGTTAGCAGTTGTTTTTAGGCTGCATTATCATTTGTGATTGTCAAGAAGTAAAAAGGACAATTCAGCCTTTTTCATTCTCTATAGAGATAGAGAACTGTTGCTAGGTGATGATGTGCAAGAGGAAAAGCGGCAGTTTTCCTTTTTGTTATTTCCTTTATTATTTATATATTTATCAAATTTCTATACTGTCCATCTTATGTAAAATGATTTTGGGTGGTTTATAAATAAAAATTCATAAATTTCTTGTTACGATGTTTCTTGACTATAAATAACATTAAAATGGGAAACCCAATTTACTGTTTTGGATCTTAAAATCCAATCTGAGTTAGTTACGCTATGCAAAATAAAGGTAAAGGTTTCCCTGTGTCTGACTCTAGGAGGCAGTCTTCATCTCTGTTTCTTAGCTGAGGGAGCCAGCATTGCCTGAAGATCCTTCTGTAGTCATGTGATCAGCCTGACTATATGCCAAGGCGCCCAGAATGCCATTACCTTCCCACTGAAGTGGTACCTAGTTATCTACTTGCATTTGCATGCTTTCCAACTGCTAGGTAGGCAGGAACTGGGAAAATAATGGCAAAATATGTCAGCACAAATTAATGGCAACTCTTGGAAAATTTCATTTCTTATAATGAGCATGGACAAATCTCCCAATCTGTTTGGGGTTTTATAGTCTATCTCTAATTTGTCAATCTTATGCCAGTGTAGTTATTTATGTGACAAGTTAGAGATAAATCTATTAATAGGATTAATTTTGTACACTTTTATTTATGAATGTGCTATTTATTTATCTAGGTATTTCTACCTGTATATCTCTAAGATAAAAATTTATTCAGAAAGGCAGACTGAACGAGAATATTAGCTGCTTTAATAAATAAATCCACAATTGCCCAATGTTCTATGGATCTCTTTTATTTTCCTTAAAATGTTGTGATTTTCTATATCGGAATAAATGTGGTTTATTAATTTACTTTGTAAACTTCTCTTATTCAAAATGACAAAAATCAAAATAAAGCAATTACTTATATAAAGTAATAAACATGAAAACCATATTAAAATCCAGCATCTTTAAAACCAGCAGCAGCCAATATAAATAAAGCTTGGAACTAACACCTCAATGTGCTATTAACCTATCTCTATATAGAAAGGATACAGAAAGATAAACATGCTGCCATATTACCCTTTCACACAATAAGCATCTTAAAGATATCACTCATTTTGTGGAAGCCTCCCTTAAGATAACTTGAGCTTACACCTTTTATTTCCTGTCTGACATTCTCATCATGTTTGACTTGCTAATAAAATGTTTTGGTTTGTCACTGACTAAATGAATAGTGAACCTATTAAATCACCAAATTATTTCACTTTGTCCTGTGACATAGCTGCTTTAATCACAAAGAAAAGCTAAGTCCCAACAATGTTTTTTTCTAAGATTCATTATTGTTGACAGATCAAAATTTATAAAGGCTTGGAGATGAGAAGGGGAGGAAGTATTCTGCAGTTCTGACTTTCAAAGCTATTTATAATATTTATTTCAAACTTGAGAATTGTGTCCTTAGGCTAACATCTGGTATTGGCTGAATGAATATCTTCCTTTTCAAAAGAGGCCAAACAGAACAAATCAGACTTTAATAAACTAGTTGTAGCAAGCACAATGGGAATAATGGTTGTTGGGGCTTCAGGTCATAAGCATGATTGTCCCAATTTAATTAAAAATAAACTCTTAAAAACAAAATGTTGTTAAATATTTAAATCTCACAATATTTCTGTTGTTTTATATAGAGATGCTTGGTAAGAATGCTGAAATCCAGTTTCAGTGTGTTTGTGGCAGATTATATACGGTACCTCTAAATCAGAGAATGCCAAGAGTATGCAAAGTATTCTGAACTGCAGGCTATCAGATCCTTTGTTTAGGATCTCTGACCTTGGCAATCACTTTCCTTCCTATGAGCAGGTCTTCTGGAGGTACGTATTTATGCACGCTATACGCATGCACCCATACATGCACGTGTGTGTGTGTGTGTGTGTGTGTGTGTGTCTATGTAAGGTATACATTTGTGTATAATCTCTATAATCCCATATAAGCCTTGAAAGAACGCATATATATATATATACATATATATATATATATATATGTTTTCTGAGGTTTTCGCGGGTGTTTGTATGTAGGTCTTTAGTTATTCGGGTTTTCTCCCGCGTAGAATTAAAAGTACCTTGGCGACGTTTCGACGAAGTCACATTCGTCATCTTCAGGCTGGTGTCTTCAGCTTCGTGCTTCTAAGAGTGGTGTGTGATCGCAGCTGTTTCTTCCTT